TAATGCTTTAGGTCATGTTAAATTAGTTTTTGGTTTCCATCAGTGACTACAGATCCAATTTTACTGTTTTATGCAATATTACTTCCCATACAGGCTTCCAAGTATTTATATATTTTCTTTAAGGTTTTTCCACCATATATCATCTTATTTAATCCTTGTACTCACCCTGTTAAATTTTTTATTGTATGGTCAGGAGATAGGCTAAGGAACTGTACAAGGTCTGAAATCTAGAGGATCAGGATTCCATTGGAATTTGGACATTCAATGGTTCTAGATCACCCCACATTTCATATTGGACATGTTCAGGTAGATTTTTCTAAAGACAAGACATTCTGTTACCTCAGAAGAAAATTATTCACAAATCATCCAAATGAAGTGTAGGAGTATGGTGGTTATTTATTTAGGTGCGCTGGAGATCAAACCCAGGGCCTCCTGCATGTTAAGCAAGGGCTCTAGCACTGAACTACACTCCCCACCCAGGTATTTGGTTCTTAATCTTATTTCTATTTGATCACCAATTTTCATGCTGTCAGGGCACTCATGGAAATAACTACGCAGAGTGGCTGTCCATTCTCATAGCAATGTGTAGAGGTAGAGTTCATTCATTTGTTTACTCTTGTTGGTTTGTGAAAAACTACTATAGTGTTAACCCTAATGAACCAAAGGCCCTTGAGTCACCCTCCCTGTGGCCTAACACTTGGAGATCCAATAGCTTTTCACATCTACTCAGTGATGATTAAAGAATATTCTAAATTAACTGATAGTTTGGGATGTAAGTACATGGAAACATTTTAAAATTCTGATTTTTATGCCTTTTAGGGATTTTTGTGTTATTTGCATATATATACATATACACACACACAGACACATTCACACACTATATATATGGGCTTACAAAAGTAATGTATGCACATTGAGAAATATTTCAACACTCAGACATATGTGGCTCAGAGTGAAACTCCCAGGGATTAAGAGCAACACTCCATCCCCAAAACTAGGGAAGGCCACTGCTTTCCTTTTATGTAGAAAACAGTATACATACCATATTTTTATAGATGATGGTAACATAAAGTAGCACAAATCTTGTTCTGAATCTTGAGTTTTTCTATGCATAATTAAGTGTATTTAAAATGATTTAAAATAAATTATGAGTCATACCTCAGCCTTTCTTTACCAGTGAAATGAAATGTGATGTGTCAAAATTGAGTTAGATCTATAATCTCCGTGGATGTGCTTTTGACTTGCACATAACAAGAAGCAGGCAGGCAAGAGTGAGGCAGTTTCACACGCTGTATTGACATTCAACAACGAGAAGGTCAGAGTAGGGAGTTGATGTCAATATGTTCATCCTGAACTGCAATAAAGCTGTCCCAGCAACTGCAGTCCCAGCTGCTGTCTCTCCTCTTTCGGGTGAGAAATATGCCACTTAGACCCTCCACACTCCTTTGCTATGAAGACGAGTCTTTAAGGATGGTTTAGAGCTGCTTTTCCAATCTCGGTATAATCCTAGATTTCAGGTTCCAAAAGCAAACTTCCACACCAGCTAGGGCTTCATTTGACAAAAAGACTAAGAGATGACAGCTGAGATTTCTGCCATATGAAAATTGCTGAGTAATTGCACAGCATGTCACATTTGAAGTATCACAAAGCTAGCTTAGCTCTCCATTTTGTTTTCCAACGTTTTACTGGAGATACTTTTCTTGGGGAGTATCAGTAGCAGTTTTAAATGTTGGGTAAATGTAGTCCCTCTACCTTTTCTTTTTGACAGATAGGGTAGACACAAGCCATGATAAAAATAGGTAGTACTTCACTGTAACACCACATTAGGTCTATTGCATTTTCTGTCAGAGACACTACCTTAGAATGGGCATAACCCATGTACAAACACATCCTTCCTTAGGCTAGGAAGGTTCTTCAGTTTGCAGTTTGGTGGCAAAGAAACAATAAAGTGGGAGAAAGCAGGGTTTCTTGGGGGGCCTCTATCCTGGAAATCATTTCCCAATGATAAATATCCCTAGGACAAATGCTTATAATTCATGCATCTGCTCCCAACAGACAATACCAAAGCCAGGTGATGGATGAGCCCTTTGGAAGACAGAAAGGGTGGAAGGAATCTGAAAGAGGGGTCCACAGTTACCTCAACTACTATGGGATCTATATGTTTTAACTCTGCCAGACCCACCAAGGGTCAATTTTTAAAAAGTCAATTCTAAGAAAATTAGGGAATCAAAAAATTAAGAAGTATTTCATGAGGCAGTTCCTATTTATATTGAGTATAACTGAATTTAAAATGTGTTTTGGTTTCCCATCCATTCCCCAAGTGCTTTCACAGAGCAGCCTGCCAGAGGCCATTACCACACAGCCCTCACAAGAAGAGAATCAGCAGCACATGGATTTGCCAGCCATCATTCTAACCAGCATTTGACACACTCAATTCACTAGGCGACTGGCAAGCTTTAATTCACTAGGCGACTGGCAAGCTTTGCTTCACAGCTGAGTCGTGGTCACTTCCCCTCAGAACAGGATCTGGGAACAACCTGAAGGGATCATGAGAAAAAAGAAAGAGCATGTCTTTGACGCTCGGTGGGATGTGCAAAAACATGAATAATGAGAAAAGGGTGTCTTAGTACTGTCAGAGTGTGCTACATTTTACTTAGGAAATGAGACAAAATCTTCCCATGATCAGCTACTCCATGTGACATCCCAACCCACACTCTGCCACTGACATTTTATCTCCCACTGAACAGCCCGGCTGTTGTAACATTTTCAGGATTCTTAATTTATGTCTTGCAGATCTAAAATCAGATGGCAGGAACTTTAAGGAAAAAAAACCATATTTTACAGTCACCTTTATACTTCAAGAAGCTGCTACACCTTAGTGTTGCTAAAAGTTGGGGAACATTCTCTCCTTCTTCCAAAATATGTTCAGAGGAAAGTGGGATAGAGATAGGAACTGTCATAAATTACTCGATTTTCCTTTTCCATCTAAACTCTATGAGAAGCCAGGCATGGTGGTACATGTCTGCAATTCCAGCACTTGGTAGGAGGATTGAAGGCTCAAGGCCAGCCTGGGCTACATAGTGTCTCAAAGAAACCAACAAAATAAAAATAAAAAAAGACTCTATGAAAGAACCTGTCCTTCTACCCAAATATTTGTTAGCAAGCTCATTCCTTTTCTTTAGGAAGAGGAGTCTAGCTTTTAATTGCTTGAAATTAGAGTAATAAAGAAAAGTTTATGGTAATTAAGATTCTCATACATAGCCAAGAACTATGGAAAAGTGAAAGAACCAAAAAGCAAGATCAACAACTTAACTTTGTGTAACCTTTATAACTTCCTGAAGTAAGTGTTGATTCTCAGACCATGAAGGAAGCTATGATGATCATCATTATTTTATAAAAGAGGGAAATGAGGTTCTGAAAATGGAAAAGACTGGTCAAATCATTCAGCTGTGGAGAAATTGAGACTCAAACCCAAATCACATGTTCTTCCACTATATCATGGCTTTGTAAAAGCAGCAACTTTGGTTTATCGTATGTAGCTGCTGAAATCTTTGCTTTCCAGTGTATTGGTGGTGCTAAGTATTTGAGAATTTGGGGGTTAGACCTGCCAAAGCCAGGATGCCAATGTATACCCTGGCTCTGGAGCCCTCAGCTGTGATCCTCCTCTTCTTAGAGTGGGATTTATATCTATTTATCTGTAATGCAGTGCGTAATAGTACAGACTCTGATCCCGTGACTAACTGCTACTAACTAATTGCTTCATTTCTTTGGGTCCCTTATTCCTGTACAGCAAAATAGAGATGATAATATCACCTACTTCACAGGGTTGTTATAAAGATGAAATGAGTTTGTGGAAACGTCTATATCAAGCATAGTGTCACCCATCAGTTTGACACATGCTTTCATAAATGCACTAGACATGTACCTATGATGTGCTTGTGAAAACCTCTGGTTAGACGATAAAGCTAAGAAAAGCTTTGTTCCATTCCTGGAGAGAAAGAAACTAGTACACTCCTTTTATACAGTACCTTGCATATATGGAGACTTAAAAATATATTTATATTGAACTGAATACTACCAGAACTGAAACTGGTAGTTTAAATTTCACAGGTGTTTCCACTCCACTCCAGCTCATATATCTCAAAGAGCAGAGATCAGGAAAAGGAGGAACAACCAATTTCCATAAAATTCAGGTGAGGGTAAAAACCAGTTCTCAAAAACTGGCTCAAGTGGTAGAGCGACTGCACCTAGCCAGCGTGTAGCCCTGAGTTCAAACCCCAGTACCTCAAAAAAAAACAAAAAAAAACCCCAAAACCAAAAAACCCTTGAAAAATATATATCCTGGTGCCTAAAGAATAGGTCACTACGTGTATGTCCTCTGCACAAAGGCTGTTCTTATATTATTAGGGTGAAACCCCCATCAGCCTTCAGTACTAAAACAGCCCCTCAGCAGGTGCGGCACCCATTCCCCAGGTTGCCGGGGGAAGTCCGGCCGACGGGTCTACCTATACTCCTGGGCAGACTGAGTAAGAGGGAGATGCTTCACGGGATGATCTAGGAAGAAGTAAAATTGAGTAAAGAAGAGAAACCTTCAATCCAATGACCGGGTGGCGGCCAACGATACATCAGCATTCCTTCGCCAGCCCCGCCCAGTCTCCGCTCTCCCAGTTCCAAGCCCCGCCCAGAGCCCTCTCCGCCTGACCCCTGCGATGCCTTAGCCGCAGGACTTGGCGGGGCGCGCGCGCATTTATTAGGGCGTCTTGGCACTGCCATAATCTAAATGAAGCGAGGAGGGAATCATATTTCCTAAAAACCTTGGCACAGCGTCTTTCTATGCTCTCTCAGATCTGTTTTGCTTTTCTTGGTCTTGGGAACTCAGCTCTGTTTCCCTCATGTAGCTTAACAGAGCATGTTTTAAGTCAGGCGCTGTCTGGGCAGCCCAAATCCTAGTACAGGGTCTTTGCGCTGAGCCTTGGGCCGGCAAAAGGGGGAAATGAGGTCCTTCTCTGGGGCGGTCGCGCAGGCAGTGGCTGCGGGTTGCCCGAGTCCAGGTATCATGTACTATAAGTTCAGTGGCTTCACGCAGAAACTGGTTGGAACATGGGCTTCGGACGCCTATATCCCGCAGGTATGGGTTGCGCTGCGCGGGCTCTGATAGAAGAAGTTACGGCTTAAGCCTCTGGGCCAGGCATTCGCGGGTCGGCGCCGGGAGAGGATTCTGCCCTGGTTGGTTGGGTTTGCTCACCCCTCATCGTTCCTCTTCCCCTTGACTCTGAGTGGTTATCGAGGCTTTTCTTCGTATAGCTGCTCTCTAGTCGGGGTCGGCCCGGCGCAGAAGTTCTGTTTGGGACTCTACAGGGGTCAAGGTGACCTCCGGGGTCGTTGCTTGTCTAAGATGAATGAGTGTTGTCGCTGGGGTCCAGAATTGGAGGTTCGATCCGTTTCCTCTGTTTTAGAAGGTCAGGCTTTCGGTCTTCCAGACATACCTTTTATTACCCCTGCCACAGCGTAACCCAAGTACAAGATGGAGAATGGGGACGACCTGTAGAATCCTTGAGGCGAGGCGCGAGGGCCGTATGAACCCTTAATGGGCTTCTTCAAATGTCCAGGAAGCATGGGGAAGTTACACGCAACAAGGTTACACTTCCTCAGCAGTAAAGTGGTGGACGGTGCCCGTTTCTTGGATAGTCGGGAAAATATTCATGTTCCACTCAGACTCTTGCTGTTGGAGTTTCACTTTCCGGCTTGACTGTTGTAAAAATGAGATATTTTAGCGTCTCATACACGTTTGAGCTTAAGTGCTGACTTTTACTGCTTGAACTGTGTGACCTTGGCCAAGTTATTGTATTTTGAGCCTAGTTTCATCCGTGGCAGCTCTAGTACATTACATGAGGTATGTGTCAGGACACTAGCAGTTTTGGCAGGTGGCTGGTTCTAGTTGTAGCTCTTCTCTAGAGGCCGAGTCTGCGACATTACATTCATTCCTCATCCTCATAGAGTAGTGTGGGAAGGATTGGTGAAATACGCAGTTGGAAAGGCTTAACTAGAGGAGTGAAGGACCCACCCAGGTGGGCTGTAAGGGGCATTCCATTATCGCTCCTTCTTCCTTTTTCCTTTATTAAATTTTTAAAAATTTATCATGTATTAATAATATGAGGGGATTTCATTGTGATAATTTGCGTACAGTGTACTTTGAACAAGTTCATCTCTCATTCCTCCTCTCTCTTTCCCTTTCTTTCAGTGTCTGGTGGGTTTCGTTATGATGTCTTCATACATATAAAGAGTTGTGTACTTCTGTCCTCTTTAATGCTGAGTATCCTCTCCTTTCTCCCTTCTTCCAGGCAACCCCCCAGATACTCATGTTCCAGCATCACCATTATTTTAGATCCAGGTTTCATAATGGAGTGAGAACATGAGATGCTTGGCTCTTCAAGCTTGGCTTATCTCATGACATAATTTCATTTTTTTCTTTATGGCTGAGTAATATTCCATGATAGGCATAAACTGTTAATTCATTGGTTGGCCACCTTGGCTGATTCCACAGTTTTGCTACTGTGAAGAGAGCTGCAGTAAACATGAGTATGCAGGTATCTCTCTTGTATATTGATTTACACTCCATTGAATATATGTCCAGGAGTGGTATAGCCGGGTCATAAGATATATTTTTAGTTTTTTAAGGATCCTCCATACTGATGAGTGGTTGAACTAGTTTACAATCCCACCAATAGCATATGAGGGTTCCTTTCTCCCCAAATTCTTGCTAGCACTTATTGTTTTCTTAATGATTCCAGTCTGACTGGGGTGAGATGGAATCTTAGTGTAGTTTTGATTTGCATTTCCTTTATAGTTAAGGATGTTGAACATTTCTTCACATATTAGCCATTTGTATTGCTTCTGAGAACTGTTCAGTTCATTTGTCCATTTATGAATCGGATTATTTGTTCTGTCTAATTTTTTGAGCTCTTTGTATATTTTGGGCATTAATCCCTTATCTGTTGATAAGGTAAGTTGACAAGTGCATACACTGTAATCCACACCCCTGTTAATATACAGAACATTACATCACCCCAGAAAGTTCCCTCATACCCTCTCCCTATCAACAATCCCTGTTCACCTTCCTAGTTTGTCTTTTTATCTTTGTAGATTGATAGTTTTGCCTATTATTGAATAGTTTTGCCTATTATTGAACCTCATGTAAATGAAACCCACACAGTATGTACTTTTCTGTGTAAGGCATATTATAAGTATTTGATCATATGGATCTATCAATTAATCTCTTGATTGAAGTTCTTTTAATAGAACTTTAGCATAATTTAAGCTCTTTTGCCTGGTAAGGAAAAAAAATAAAATTTTGCAGTAAAAACTGGTATTTAGAGCAGAGATTATCTTTAAGATGCATTTGATATAAGTGGGGCTTTCAGATTTCTGGGGCACCTCCTGAATTGTATTTCACCTGAGAATTCAAATTTCTTAGTTACTTAAAGATTTTTTTTTCTTGTGATGTTAGGGATTGAACCCAGAGCCTCATACATTCTGGATGAGTGTACCATAAAGGTACATTCCCAGGTCAATTAAGATTTCTTAAGATGACTGGGTGCTGGTGACTCACGTCTGACATCCTAGCTCTTTGAGAGGCTGAGATCTGAAGACTGGAGGTTTGAGGCCAGCCCAGACAAATATTTTGTGAGAACCCCCATCTCCAAAATAACTAAAGCAAAAAGGACTGGAGGTGTGGCTCAAGTGGTAGAGTGCCTGTTTAGTAATCGTGAAACCCGAGTTCTACCAAAATGATACCAAAAAAAAAAAAAAAAGATTTCTTAAGCTATATTGAAAGAAAATATTGTGTAGGCTTTATATGAATTATAGATTTCAGAGTGATTGTGAGAGTCACCGCTCCCCCCCAGAATTAAGAGTACTTCAACTTTGCCTTTCTTAAAAATATTAGAATATTATAAATGAAAATGTTTGTAACTTTCAGTATTATGTAAAATGAGTAATTTATCATGCAGTAAACAATCAAATATGGGAAAACTAGTTCTGTAACAACAGCACAAATTTGTAGTGCAACTTGATGACAGGTAGTTGTTGAAGGTATTTCCCAGTGGTTGATTGAAAAGTATTTTCTTTACCTTTCTGTGTCCTATGCCACAGATAAATTAAGGCCAAAAAGCACATGAAAAGATGCTTAATATCATTAGTCATTAGGGAAAGCAAATCAAAACCACAATGAGCTAACACTTTACATCTGCCATTAAAAATGACAAACAAGTAATAGCAAGTATTAGTGAAGACGCAAAGAAACCAGAAGCCTGTTAACATTGCTGATGAGAATGAAGAATGGGGCACCCACTTTGGAACACAGTTTGGTGGCTTCTTTTTCTTTTTTTGAGACAGGGTCTTGCTGTGTTAGCCCAGCTGGCTTCAAACTAATGATCTTTCTTCTTTTGCCTCCAGATTCTACAATTAAACGTATATGCCATCATGCCTAGCCAGTTTGGTTAAGTTTCTTTAAGAGGCAAACACAACTTTACTCTTGACACAGTAGTTCCCCTAGTTAAGATGGCAGAATGATATTCTAGGTAAAGGGAACTAAGAGTGAAGTGGGGACAGGGACTGGGGGAAAATCATTGAGTAGATTATCTTGGATGTAGAGGATTGAGGTAGATTTTGAAGGGTTTAGGATGGTAGGACTTAATTTCGTGAGAAATGAGTAGGAACTTAACAACTTGATGCAGACAACTGTGGTAGTTTGTCCTATTATTGATAAGGCACATGTTGGGGTTGAGGAGGGAGGATTCCAAGATGTCAGGGGAATAGCAGGATGGGGTGCTTTCCATAAGAACAAGGTAGCTCCTGAGTGGACGTGTGAGTGAATTTTGGACTTGCTGAGTATGAGGTGTCAGAGGGACATGGAGGCGATGATGCTCAGATTGCAGTTTGAAATGAATTGAGTCATTGCGGGTTGACATTGATTTCCAGTCTGAAATCCAATCCTAAGTTAGAGTGAAGGGGTTTATAGGTTTTTTTTTTTATTGCTTTTTTTCTCTTAATTTTTTTATTAGGGTATATTCATTGTACAAGGGGGATTCATTGTGACACTTCTAAATTGGCTTACATTTTACATTGGTTAGATCACCACCAACCATCTTTCTTTTCATAGGTTTTTGACATTTAAAAATTTGAGATAATTTTCTTATTTCTCCACTCTACTCCCCAAACCTAAAAGGTAGAATAAAATGTTGGGCCAATCAACATGCTTTTCTCCTAAAAAGTTTGGAGCAATTAGATACTGGAGGTATAGCTCAATGGTAGAGTTCTTGCTTAACATTCCCAAGACCCTACATTCAATTCCCAGCAAACCCTCTCTCCCCCCAGCCTTTTCTTTTCTTTTTTAAAAAACAATTAAAATAGACTGGAAAGAATTCAACTACTAAATTTGTTTAATGTTGGATGGCCCTTAATCAGCTTTGGAGGTAGAATAAATAGCTAAGAGATTCAGGATTGAAAAATAAAGTCTGATTTCACTTATTTTAAGAAGAGCTTTCAGTTGTCTTCTCCTTGCTGCTGAAAGTGATGCTCTGCCATCAGTACTGATAAACATGACTTCTGTTTATTCAAGTCTACATTGTGATGAAGCTGTAACCTTCCCTAGCTTATTTATACATTCAGCAAATATTTACTGAATGTGCCATGTCAGTTGCTTCTTGGGAAATACAAGCAATGAACCAAACCTGCCAAAATCCTTCATTCATGGGACTTCCATTGTAGGGGAAGATACAGTAAAAGAAGTATAATAAGCACTGGACCCCTATCCTATTTATGCCTCCTGTGTAGCTGAGATGACAAGTGCATGTCAACACACCCAGCTGTTTTGTTGAGTGGAATCTTACAGCTTTTTGCCTGGTCTGGTTCCAAACCTGGATCCTCCTGATCTCTGCCTCATGAGTAGCTGGGATTGCAAGTGTGACCCACAGTGCCTGCCTTACAAGTTTATTAATGCTAGAAATTTCAGAGGTGTAGCTCAAGTGGTAGAGTGCTTGCCTAGCAAGTGGAAGGCCCTGGGTTCAATCCCTCATACAACATAAAAAAGAAAGTTCAGTTACTTTATCACTTTTTTTTTTTTTCTGGTCCTGAAAGACAAAGTGCCTTTTTCCATTACAGGCTGTTCCAGATTGAGGTGTTTCTTTACTGTGTGTCTGGAAGTTTCTGAAGTCCAGTTGATGAGACATTCCATGTTGGTACATTAGTTTAGCCAGAGGAGAAAAGAGACAGCCAGGTCCCTTATGAAATCTAACCAATAGTTTATAGAGATTATAAATGTCTTCCTGGTTTGATGATAAGATAGACAGTCGATATTTCTGGAAGCTCAGATTGGGCTTTTCTTGTCCCTTTCATTTTACTGGTAGGGAGTTCTTGACAGGATTTGCTCTGGGAAAGATGAGGGTGTTTTGTCAGAAGTTTGAAGACCACCTGCAGGTCTGGTATTGCAGGGTTAGAGAGAGCCCCTTTCCATCCCTATGTGTGGGGATGAATGGCTGTCTGCACTATCCTAGACAAGGCTTGCTCAGATGTGAGACATACTTTCAACTTGCTGTTTTACTTTTTTTTTTCTGTAGGGGTTAAAACCTGTGGCTTCCACAGAAGCACCACCTATCATATTTGCCACACCGACTAAACTGACCTCCAGTTCCAGTATGTATAATTATGCTGGGAAGAACAGAGTTCCAGAGCTGCAGAAGTTTTTTCAGGTAAGGGAAGACAGAGAAGGCTGTGAAATAAATAGGCTGAAAAAAACCCACAAAACATCCTTTCTGAAATTGGGCTTTGGTTTAGTTTACCATCCAACCTCCTTTTTCTCCCCTCCCCTCTCCTCCTTTCCTTCCTTCCTTCCTTTCTTTCTTTTTTTTTTTTTTTGGTGGGACTGGGGTTTGAACTTAGGACTCCATTTATTCTGGTTATTGTTGGAGATGGGGGTCTCAGGAACTACTTGCCTGGGCTGGCATTGAACCTTGATCCTCCTGGTCTCAGCCTCCCAAGTAGCTAGGATTATAGGCCTGAACCACTGGCACCCAGCTTCCTTTTTCTTTAAATAGCATTCTCTTTATTTTAATTTGAGCCATAAACTAATAGGACCTTTTAATAGGTAGATACCAATAATAGAAGGGTTGTCAAATGTCCTCATCATTAATTAAGCATACATAGGTTTTCATATTGCATATACAGCATAGCTTTTGATTATCCGTTGTGTGGAGAAAGCAATAGCACATATAATGACACCGTGAATCATCCAGTGTGTATTTGTATTTGTGACACATGTAGTATCTTTTTGCAACAAGTTTTAATTATTTTTTGCTTGCTTGATATTAAAATTCACTGAACTGTTGATTGAGGGTAATGGAGGCCCTTCTGGATTTGCTGATCAAGGAGAGAAGACAATTGAAATTTCAAATGTTATTAAAGTTAGTCTACTTATAGATAATTGAGAACTTAGTGACCTGACTTTATCTCAGGTGCAATGGGAATGACAGAGCCTGATACTGCTGTTGCTACAGAGTTGCTTCTCCCTCAAAAATAGGTCCAAATTGAGGACCATGCTGGGGATAGAGCACTTTTGTTTTAATCATTTTAATCCCTTTTTAGCTGATGAGGAAGGCATTGGAGTCTTGAGGGCTTTTGGAGACTGTACAAAATAATGAATTAAATGTCTTAAGGAGTCTGATTATCAAATGGGGGTTTAATTGTTTGATGAAAGAAAACGATTGCGAAATGGACTTGAACTTACTACCTGGCGTGGTGTGCTAAACTAACCGTGGAAGCCCTTGGAGGCCGTTTCTTGTGCCTGTGCTTCTTGTTTAGCTGCTTTTTAAAAAAATCCCCCGGTTGTCAAATGTCCTCAGCATTAATTAAGCATACATAGGTTTTTCATATTGCATATACAGCATTAGCTTTTGATTATCGTTGTGTGGAGAAGAAAGAATAGCACATATAATGACACCGTGAATCATCCAGTGTGTATTTGTATTTGTGACACATGTAGTATCTTTTTGCAACAAGTTTTAATTATTTTTGTGCTTTGATATTAAAATTCACTGAACTGTTGATTGAGGGTAATGGAGGCCCTTCTGGATTTGCTGATCAAGGAGAGAAGACAATTGAAATTTCAAATGTTATTAAAGTTAGTCTACTTATAGATAATTGAGAACTTAGTGACCTGACTTTATCTCAGGTGCAATGGGAATGACAGAGCCTGATACTGCTGTTGCTACAGAGTTGCTTCTCCCTCAAAAATAGGTCCAAATTGAGGACCATGCTGGGGATAGAGCACTTTTGTTTAATCATTTTTAATCCCTTTTTAGCTGATGAGGAAGGCATTGGAGTCTTGCAGGGCTTTTGGGACTGTACAAAATAATGAATTAAATGTCTTAAGGAGTCTGATTATCAAATGGGGTTTAATTGTTTGATGAAAGAAACGATTGCGAAATGGACTTGAACTTACTACCTGGCGTGGTGTGCTAAACTAACCGTGGAAGCCCTTGGAGGCCGTTTCTTGTGCCTGTGCTTCTTGTTTAGCTGCTTTTTAAAAAAATCCCCCAGTGCTCTTTTCCTGGTTAAGTATACATGGTAAATACCATAGAAGTTCGGAGTTTTTGCATACTGTTGCCTCAGACTGACTTTGGGCTACAAGCTTTAGCTGCATTTTAAAGAAAACATTTTAGTCAGCATTCTGATGTATTAAGGTGTTTTCCACTGTGTTGTGTTTATAGCCATTTTAGGCTAATTTATTCTTTATTAGCCTAAAATTGTATAATTTTTTTCTTACCAATCATGCCCTTGTTAATTCTTGCTTTCAAGAAATCCGACGGTGTGCCCATTCACCTGAAGCGAGGCCTGCCTGACCAAATGCTTTACCGGACCACCATGGCGCTGACTGTGGGAGGGACCATCTACTGCCTGATCGCCCTGTACATGGCTTCCCAGCCCAAAAACAAATGAGTTCAGCTGCAGAGGACTGGTTTACTTTTTGGCATAAACCCTTTGAATTTTCATTTTTCATTGTTTCTGATAATTTTTTTTCACTTGGATGGTCTGCTTAACATTTTTGCAAAACAAAGAGAAAGATACGAAGACAATACTTTGGTTTGTTTATGAAGTGCATATGGCCTGTCAGATGCCAGAGCTCATTTGACAGTTAAAACTGTTGTTTAAAGAAATGATGCTCTGCTCTGTGTTTGGGTCCTGATTTCCCTGGAGGTTCTGGATGAAGGTTGCACATAGGCTCATTACTGTCAGTTTGTGCTGAGGTCTTTGGGGACTTGGGGTTGAGTTTTTAAGCCTGGAGTGCAGAAGCCTTTCTAGATTTGGATGTGACTGAGAAAGGAAGACAGAAGCCAAGGCCAGGTGTGTGAAATAAGGGGCTCAAGTTAGTAGTCACCTTGGGGATTTTTCCATCTTGCAGTAAATGTTAATCAGAATTATTTGCAGCCTGCTTCTATTTATTGGGCAGTTTGTTTCAAAGGTTATTTGCCTCCTCCTAGATCTTTAGTAAAATTCTATGTGTAATTGTGTATTTATTCCACCATGGGAACAGAGAACACCTGTTCAGTGTTGCATTTTAGACTGGTGTCTGTCTTGTTAGTGCAACTGTGCCACAGATTCTCCTTTACCTTTAAAAATGTTATGGTTTTAAATTATGATTTATTTGACTGTGAATAAATATGTGAATAAAAAAATTGCAAGTTTGAAGTTCTTTTCAGTTAAATGACCTTTCAGAATAATTGTAGAATACCAGAGGGATCTTAAACCTGAGTCTTAATTTTTTCCTTTTTAGTTATATACCAGGTAACCTTTACGAAATAGTTCCTCAAATAATAGGAGTCTAATGGCATATTGACGATTACCACATGGTTCCTTATTAGAAACCTTGCTCCTTAGTGAAATGTACCAGTAATACACAGTACCTGTAAGACACTAATGCCCTCTGCTGTCATGACTGGTTGTCTTCACTTACCCTATATTAATGATAAAAACAGGTGGAATATTATTGTGAATATAAGATGATGGTCTGTACTTGCCAGAGGAAAGAACAGTGATCTCTTACTGAGGATAAAATACAGTGTTTGAGCCAGATATGTTGGCACATGCTTGAGATCCCAGCCCTTGGGAGGGTAATGTAGGAACTCATTGGCCAATTTAGGTGAGTGTACTGTTCTGGGCTGGTTGGCTCTTTGTGGCAGACGGAGAGAGAGAGCCCAAGTTGGCCTGTTCCTGGATCAACAGACGGCCCAAAGCCTTTCCCTTTATTTGCAGTTGTGGTTACTCCCAAGCATATCACTTTGAACCTTGGAAGGTTGGTTTGTTTTCCCAGAGTTCCTCTCATGGATTTGGCTCTCTCAGTGCTCTCTGGCTGACATGCTGTTTAACTTTTCTTACCTCCCCAGGTTGCATGGTTAGACCAGAGGCTAAGGAAGTGCCTTGTCTTTCCAACAGTCATCTGTGTTCACATAGTTCTGGTTTGTTGTGGCAGTCGTGGTGGTGGTGTGTGTAGACATCCTGGGGTACTCAGACAAGGGTAGTTGTAAGGAAATCAATGTTTTAAGTTGTCAGTTTCCATTACACTTTCTAAAATTGAGTTGAACTGCTTGGGAGCACATCTGGCTTAAGTGGCTCCCTGTGCTGTTGTACTCTACCAAAAGAAGGGCAGCCTTTTAGACAGCTAGTTTGGCTGCAGTGTGTTGTCCTGAGGCGGGGATAGCTCTGAATATTGGTAACATTAAGAAGTATGTGACTCATGAGCAGGTAAGAAATCCTTTTGCAAGTTAGAAGTTTTAACAACACTTAAGGAGGAGCCGAGTTGTCAGATGATCATTAAAATTATTTTAGATAGTAAATAGATCACTATATAACTTTTAGTTACAACTCAGAAATCCAAAGAATTCAGTTTTACTGCTATTATAAAACTTTATTCCCTTCTATTTAGAACAAGGTTTAACAGTAATCAAGATTTAACATGGAAAACATGCATCCCTTCCAACCGTGATGCATTTCTGACACATTTTCCTCATTTAGTAGTTATCAACATATCCTATTGCTTTGATCAAAAATATATGTTAATGGTAATACAGTTCAGAATAAGAATACTTTTAAAACTTAAGGAGTTTATGGTTATAGGAAATTCAACCAAATTTAATTTCAAAATGTTAAAGAATTATATGATCAATGAGACTTTTAAGACTCAGATTAGTATAATATTTGCAGGGTAAAATTCTACGTGTGCGTGAGTGAAATGAAAATACAAGTTCAAAAATTTTTTGACTGTTCAATAGTGCTGTAGTTTGGATGTTCCCACCAAAACTCATGTAGACATTTAATCTCCACTGTAAAATATTAAGGTAAACGCTTAATCTGACATTGTATTTGGAGGTGCGACCTTTGGGGAGATAAATAGGGTTAAATGAGGCCATAAGGTCTCCCTAATCCAGTGAACTGGCTTTTTAAGAGAGGGAGGAGATACCTGAGTTAGGATTCACTGGCCATGTGATGCCCTGTGCCACCTTGGGCACCTGCAGTTTCCACTTGAAGACCCTCATGAGATGTGGCTGTCCTGTCCTGAACTTCTAGCTTTCAGAACTGTGAGCTGAGTGAGCCTTTTTTCTATTCATTTATCTTTGTAGTACTGGGAATGGATACAGCACTTGGGCAAGAACTCTGAGCTGCGTGGCCTGCCCCATTGCCTTTATTTGTCATAATAATTGCTCAACCTGTGGTATTCAGCTGTAGCAATAGAGAATGGAGTGAGACAAGCAGACATTTAGATGAATGTCTAAATATCACTGCAACTGGACACCCAGTTATAAGTACATCCCACCGGATGTACTTATAGAAGTGATTTAATAATTTAACCAATATCTATAATATATAATACCACAGAAGTTATACTTCTTGCAATTATTTAACCTTAGTATGAATTTCTAGATGTTAAGCTTCAGTAGGCAAAGAGATATATATAGATTTTCAATTTTTTTTTTTAAGGGTACACAAGACTGAAAATGGCTACTTTACTTTTAAGAAGTGCCCAGTTAGTCTTCTCTTCCTTTTCTCTGTCTGACAGCCTAGTTTCTTTCAGAGTCTGATCAGTCTTCCCACTCCCTCTGTGCCCCTCATCCCACATGACTGGTATGAAGCTGTCAGTGGCAGGGTGAAGGTTGACATGGCTTTTGGAACACTGGCCAACTTTCTTTATATATTTTTCTTCCCTTCCGTACGTATGACTCTGGATCTCTCCTGACTTATCCACTGTTAAGATTTATAGGCTCCAATTCATCTTTCTGATTTGTCTTTTAGTCATAAGCTTTCCAAGCTTCTCACTTTCTGGTCTATTGATTTTCTTTTCTTTTTTTTTTTTTTGCTCACAATATAGTATTTTATTTTATTTATTTATTGTACTCGGGGTGCATTGTGACATTTACAAAAGTTCTTACAATATATCATAGTTGAATTCACCAACTCCATCATTCTTTGTCCCCTCTCGCCCATTCCTGGAATAGTTTCAGTGTCTCATTTTTTCATTTTCATACATATGTACATAATATTTCTACCATATTCACCCTCATACCCTTTCCTTATATCCTCCTCCCTCCCACTGGTACCAGCACCCCAGACAGGACTTGTTTTGCCTTCCTGTTCTCTGTTTAAAAAAAAAAAAAAAAAAAAGATACTTTTGTTTAAGATAGCTATACAGGGTGTTTCCTTGTGACATTTCCTTGTATAACCCAAATTGGTTATAGAATAATTGGTCACTGAGAAATGCTGACAATTCTGGTCCCAGTGACTGATCCACTAATTTGACATTCTGACTGCACATCCCAGGTTGGATCACTGTTTGATCAGGCACCATAGACTGTCATGTCAGATTGGCTGGGAAGCAGGGAGCCCTGTCTTTGGTGCTCCTCTTGCCTGACTCACCTGTCAGGCAGCATCCATAGTTCTTTACGGCCTTCCTGACCTGTTGAGAACATGGGTCTCAAAAATGAGCCTGATAGCCTTGCCTTTGGTAAGCGAGCCTGGAGATTACATATAAAGAAACGCCTTCAAAAATCATTCTTGGGATCCTTTCCAGCACATCTCTGTCTCAGGGTTCACAGACCGTGTGGCTGATACAGCACTGATGTGGAGGAGCTCTGCAGTTGTCCCTCACCCATTGCCATCTGGGAACACTGTGATGGAATTGGGTTGTATTAGAACAAGCTGCCCTGGGAGGAGGGAAGCTTTGGTGGGGCTTTCTGTGTTAGGAGAGAATTAGGATGGATCACTTGCAGTTTCTTCTGTCGCTTGCATAAGCTTGCACCCAGAATCCTGGCCTTTGTGTGGCCCCAGGTGCCCACTGTGTGGTGCTGCTGCAGGCTGTGTTGGGCTGGGCAGGTGGGAACCTGGTGATGCAGCTGCTTGCTCAGGTCGAGTCTGTTAGAGGTGATTTCCGAGGGAGCTGCTGCAAAATACTAATGGGCAACAAGGGTCACGCAGAATGGCTAGGAATAGCATTCATTAGATAACATCTTTTTCCTCATGTGCTGAACAGGCTGCCTGGGACATAATGCCTTCTCTTGCCCTGACCTTTCCTTAGTCACTGACATTTGTCATGTCACATGGCTCTACTTGAGGGCTGAGGCACACAGGTCCTTCAAATTGCCCAACTTGTACTAGCCAGATTGTAATCTCTGCTCACTCCAAAATTACATGTGGATGGAATCCAGCTGAAGCTGCCTCAGGCTGTAGGAAATGGCTGCCTTGCCTCCCAGTCAGCTGGGAAAGCTCTAGGAAGAAGCCAAACTCTCCAGAGCAGTAGGACCTTGGCAACTACAAGGAAAACAGTTCTCTACCTAATACTGGGAAGCAGGTGTGTGTGGAGAGACAGAGAGAGGAGAGTGAGAAAGAAAAAGAAAGAGAAAGATGGGGAAGAGGCAGTTAAACAAGAAAAGATTGGAGGAGAGAGGCTCTGCTGGTCTGGGACCTACTTCAGGCCTCTGGCTTAAGTCATTGTCAGAGTGGAGCCCTGAGCTAGGAAGGAGACAACTTGTTTTCTCAGCATCCCTGGCTTCTCTCTGGCAAGGCTCTGGCACAGGTTATGGAAGTGCCTTGCTACTGGAAGCATGATGTTCCACAGCCTGATAATTCTGAGAGGCTCCAAGCCCATCTCCCTCCCCCGCCTTGGGCCACCAAACCTCCATGTTAGATGGTAGATTAATTTGAAAATTGCATTGCAGCTGAATGAGTTGATGTTGGCTTCAAAGTTCACTGGTGTTTAATTAGAACTATCTCGAGACTAAACCTGCTCCCAGGAAATTGTTCTGACCGAATAATTAAAGAGAATAAAGGTTAGGTTTGTATTTCTGGCCAAGTCTGTATTGCATTCAACATCTCCAAAACATGAATTCCATTAACCTTTCGTGAACCAACATTAAATTGCTTTCTATTAGTTGTTATTCTAATTAAAGTAGAATCATGCAGAAGATCCTTTGTTTATACTTGGTGGCTGTTGCGTGTCTCCTCTGGAACTTTGTCTACTTGAAGCAGTCCTTTTGTTTTCTGACTTTATATGTGCCTTTCTGCCACTGCTGTTCGTTGAGCATTGGAGAGAACCAAGTCACAGAAGTAGGCCACAAAAGTGTGGCAGGAGGGATAAGTAGGCCCCACTGATGGTTGGATTGTGTGTAACTTAGAAAAATGTGTCCTGTGACTGTGGAGATGAAGATAAGGAATAGCTGAGGTAAGGACACACGGTCTTCCCATGAACCGTGTGAGGTCAGGAGGGGAGTGTGGCTCTTTATGAGGCCATGACCTAGCCACTTGGCCATTATGCCTTTGGTATGGATGGCCTTGCTTTTTTGGGGGATAAGAGGCTCCTGAGCCTCATCCTGAACTGTTCACAGTCTCAGTGTCCTGACAGGCTCCTGTCTAATAGCCATAGCAGAAGGGATGGCACAAGGACTGTGGTAAAGAGCATTGTATCCCTGATGTGGGACTTACCTATTCCCGTTATCAAGCATATTTTTTCTTTTTTCCTGCTCAACTATGGATATGAGTTACAACCAGAACAGAATCTAAACCAACACAGGATTCCTCAAGGTGGAATTTTAGGCTTCCAGAACCTAGGAAGCCAGAGGTGAGGTCTGCTTTGTTTGGCTATCAGTCTGCACAAGATCAAAGATACTGACCATAGTGTTACTTGTGTATCTTGGGAACCCAGATGTGTGGCAGGGACATTTGCTGGTTTTGTGGTACACTGGGCCTAGAGAAACCTCAGTGTGGTATGAAATCTGGCAGTGGTAGCAAAAGTAAGGGGCAACCTGACTCTACTTGAGAAGACAGGCTTTCAGCCTCACACTTGGAGCTTGGTCTGCGGTTTCCTAGTACCACCAGCCAGCCTGACTACTTGTGAGTTTTGTCTTGAAGCTGGTTGGCCTCTTTCCTGATTCCCCAGCTCCATGGACTATCTACCCAATTCTCTGTGCTTCCCTTATGGGGCCATTATCAGGTGCCCTGTTTGTTTTTTGGCAGCATTGGTGTTTGAATTCAGGGCCTCATGCTTGCTAGGCAGATGCTCTACCACTTGAACCATGCCGACAGCTCTTTTTTGTGATGGGTTTTTCAAAATAGGGTATTACAAACTATTTGTCCAGTGCTGGCTTTGAACTGCGATTCTCCTGATCTCTGCCTCCTGAGTAGCTAGGGTTAGGCATGAGCCACCAGTGCCTAGCAGGTGCCCTGTTTAGACAGCAGGGTTTTTGCATGAGTAGATCTGGGGTTGCCTGAGGATGAGCCCTCATGAGCCCTCAGACTGGGGATGGATCCCATCTTCACCATTAAGCTCCTGTAACACACAAACCATTTGTTCTGCAATTCCTGCACACTAGATTCTGTGTAGGGTATGGGAACAGAGGACGGTAACTCCTCTTGGCCTCCAGAGCTCATGGAATGAACATAACCAGGCTGCACCTGCACTGTCCAGAGACAGAGCAGGATCCAAGAAGGCCAGGAAAGGGGTGGTGGTGTTTAAACTGCATATGATCTGAGGGAAGGGTTCATGCTGACAGGTGAGAGCATCATGGGTATGTGTGAGGGTGAGGACTAGGGGATAGGAAAGGCAGGACCACAATGAGAGGGAGGCTCAGGCCTGCTCAGGAACCTTCTTGGGGCCAGGTGGAAATGAATTTGGACTCTGGTTGGTATCAGCAGCGGTGCATGGTGAGGATAGTCACTGAATTTCATGTTTTATTGGTTTTTTTTAAGCTCTGGGGCCAGCGTGGAGGACAGCCTGGAGAGGGAAGAGACTGGAGACTGCCGAGTAGTGAAGAGTTGTGAGGGATGTGAGGGCAGTGGGCAAAGGAGGAGCTCTCCCGGGCACATGAAGAAGGCCCAACGAACACCAGCTGACAATTAGACATCTGAGGCAAGGGGGCAAGAGGATGCTGCAGGGTGACTCAGCCTGACTTCAGGTGAGTGCAGGTGCAGTAAACAGGCAAGGCATGTTTTGTTTGAGAAAAGGGGTTGCGGTGAGTCCTCTAGGCAAAAATCCAGTGGGCAGCAGGCAGAGAGAAGGCAGGGGTCTGGACTGGAGATCCACACTTGGAAATGAGCACACAGGTGATGTCTGCTGCATCGTTCAAAGGGCAGGTGGGTCCTGTAGAATCAGGGAGATGCCAGCACTTTAGGCGTGGGTGGGAGTGGAAGAGCAGAAGGAAGGTTGACACGATGTTCGTGAAAGAACAGACTGATTGCAAATTCACGTGAAGTCAAAACCAGGCAACAGTCATCTATGGTAGAGGTCACCCTGTACCACAGCACTGCCAAGAGGACCATGAGGCCCACTTCTGAGTCTGACTGGTGGTCACCTGGGTGTATGCATTGGATATAAACAAAACACTGAGACTCGTGAACTTTATTATGTTACACTATGAAAAAACAAGAAAGGAGCGAAGGAGGCAGACAGGGAAGAAGGGAAAAGAGCCCAGAGGAGAAGGTTTTGTTTTGGGGGCTGTACTAGGATTTGAACTCAAGGACTTCTGCTTGCTAGGCAGGTGCACTATCATTTGAGCCATGACCCCAGCCCAAGGATAGGGTTTTCAAGAAAGAGGATTGTGTTTAGTATCACACACACTGGCAAAACCTGCCAGTCAAGCAGGTTCTGATAAGAGGCATGAGATGGCCCGGGGGCTTGGAGGCCACTGTGTCATCTGTCCTCCCATGTATGAGAGCACAGTGCATACACATACAAGCACCAGTGTGTGTCCCTTGTGCTGTGGAATGGGACCATGATGCTGAGTGAGAACGCGGGGTTGTGGAGACACATTGCTGAGATCGGCAGTACAAGGGCAAGTCTGAGAATTCCTGTGCTCTCTGAAGCTCCAGCACCACTACTGGTGCTATCTGTGGTTTCCTGAGTGCCCGTTCAGGCACATCCCAGTCTTTAAATCTGATAATGTTTAATAAAAGATGTAATTGACTACCATGATTTAATTAACAAGTCCCTTCCTTTTATTTTAGTGCAAGTTTCCCATAGAAACCACTTCAGTTTGACACTGTGAATGACAGTGTTACTAATGGAGCCACCTGCAGGCTTTCGTAGCTTTCCTAACAATCTGTCACCTTACTCATGGCTTCTGGTGCAAACAGTTTATTGTGATGGAGGCCCCAGCCTGTGATCTGGAGGGGACAGCCCTCCCTGCACTCTGATGTGAGGAAGCTAAGCTCACTCGTTCATGCTCCACGAGGGGCAGGAGACAAAGCCCTAGAGCTCACCAGGATGCCCCTCCCCTGGGCACTGTGTGCTGCAGTTGGGCACAGCCCTTCATCTCCTCTCAGTGTGGGATGTGGAGCTAAAGCCTGGGGCAGCACAGATGGTACCTCACCTTGCTCCACCTGCTATGGACACGGCTTTCTCAGGAGTTGAGTAATTACTGCATTGTAACAGCTCATGGAGAATTTTACAGCATAGCCAGTGCAGTCATGTGTCACTGAGCCGTGGGGATCAGTTCTGAGAAGTATGGTAGGTGATTTCATCCTGATATCAACATCACAGTTACTTTCACCAGCTAAGACAACTATGACGTCACTAGATGATATCACCTTATGTGACCCTGGGAGTGGCATGACTGTGTTTAGGTTTTTGCCACCAGATTTCTCCCTTGTCCCCAGGACAGGGCTGACCTTTAGGTGGAGATGGAGTTGGATCATGCCAGGGCTCCAGGGGCCTGTGAGGGCTGGAGTCCTAACAAGGAGGTTCTCAGCTCAGCTCAGAATTAATTCATCTTCTAAATGGAAATGTCAAAGCCTAGCAAACGTTCTTGCTAATGATTTTGGTGATGAGCTATTTGGGGTTAGCAAACAGTTGGCCATATGAAAATGGATTTGCCAGGGAAGCTGGGGGCCCTGTCATCCTCGGGAGAAAGCCCATCGACCTCATCTCAGAGCCACAGCCTCCCTGGGAAAGAGTGAAATTCTTATTTTCCCTTTTATTAATTCTGGATAAGGGAGGTGACTCAGCCCAAGCACCAGAGGGAAGGAGGAGTGGGTGGCTGTGGAAAGGACTTCTGAGAGCCTGAGTGAGTCCAGAAGCAGAGCAGGTGGTAGGGAGAGGAGATCCAGATGGCCTCAGCAGTTGGGGCACCAAAGACCATTGCTTCCACCCATGGCAGGAGAGGGGGTTGCTACTCACAGGGAGTGGGTGGAAGAGGAAGTAGAGGGAAAAATGGAGTTGATGGGGGAATGTCACTGGAGTTACATGGAGGGCTGCTCTCCACTGGTACTGAAACTGGAGTTTTGAACTCAAGGCCCAAACTCCTGAGATTCCATATATCAGGTCCTGCTCCCACCCCTAAATGCCAAAGAAAGATGCATGGTGAAGGCAGAAAAAAGAGGTTTATTACAAGGCTCAGGACATGCCATGGGAAGGGCAGAGTAAGCACTCAGCTCATCTTCATCCGTCTTCGGGGTACAGAAATGAGTTATAGGTTTAAGTAGATAAAAGAACTGGAGGCAGGGGACAAAGTTATGCATAGCTGAACAGTCCCAGTCACAGGTATGTTCTGGTTGACCATTATCTCAGTCCAAGAGTTCCCAGAGGGGTTCTAGAGAAGATGTTATTACTATTACCACTTGAGGGGAGTGATATGGTTCCCATGAGATGACTGCTCCTGCACCAAGGTGCAGCCTCATTATAGATAATTGTCCTCATTTGGAGGAGGGGGTCTGTCCTACAGGTCTCCTCTGTTCCTTATGGGAAGTTTCAGTCCCTTGTCATAACGATGTAATCTGTCATTTCTGGATCCAAGGTGATTGCAAAGAGAATGGCTGAGAGCAAAGACAGATACATTATGGAGGCAGGGATGCCAAGTTTCTCCTGTTTTTAGTTAATTCATGCTCCCAAGTAAGGAGTGAGTGGTTTTCAGCAAAAGCAATTTGAGTGCCTCTTATAGTGCCATTGTGCAGGACACTCCTGTGGTAGGAGGAATGAAGTCCTTCAAGACCAGACCTAAGAAGGCAGAAGGGCTAGCATCTGAGATGGGGAACCAGCAGGTCCAGCTGTAGCAGGCACATGCAAGCAGGCAAACAAAACCAGGAAGCTGCCACTAATCATTTGAGACCAGTGCCCAGCAAGATGGTGATAAATATGACTAAAACCTGAACTGACCCTGAGGCTTCTTATACTTTTGTTGTAATACATTAGCATACATCTATATGGGAGGAAGCTACCACACAAATGCAGGCGCATCTTGAGCCACGTGCAAAGGTGGCACAGGTACAGTGAAAGTCTCTTTTTTCCTGAAAAAGATGTGACTATTCAGACTCTTTCCCCTAAAATGATTGTGTGCAAGTACATTCAGGACCACTGTGGGGCTGTCTGCTGTGCTGCTTTTCTGTGATAAACCTTTGCTTTACTTTTGTTTCAGAACTATGGCTGCTTTCTTCCTGCAGGTGACAAAGGATACGCTTAGTCTGGTTACAACCAACTGGTGACAACTCCTCAAAGCTCTATCTTCTAAATTTTTTTTATTTTGAAATGATAGATTCACAGGAAGCTTCAAAAATAAGAGTCTTGGGCTGGGGACAAGGCTTAAGTAGTACAGTACCTGCCTAGCAAGCACAGGTCCTGAGTTCAAACCACCAGAAAAAGGCCTTTCCTTAGTTTCTCCCAGTGGTGACACTTACTGTAACTGTATTTGAGACCAGGAAACTGACATTGATACAACAGTAGATATGGCCCTTACCCAGATTCACCAATTCTGTACCAGTCATGTGGGCAGTTCTGTGACATGTAATCTACGTGGAGATTCATGCAATCCCCATATTCTCAGGATGCAGACAGTTAAAACCACAAAAGAGCCCTGATGCCATCCTTTGTAGTTACGTCTCTCTCTTCCATCACTGCGCCCTGGAGATCACTTATCTGTTCTGTCATCTCAGAATGGTATGTAAGTGGAAACTGAGTTTGTAAGCGTTTGAGATTTTTTTTTTTCCACTGTGTAACTCCCTGAGAGTCATCCACATTTGCATGTATCAATAGTTTGTTCCTTCTTATTGCTCAGTAGTAGTCTACTGAATGGGTTCTACATAAAATATTAACCTTGTGGATTTACGTACTCTAGAATTTCAGTAGGTGCTCAATCCAAGATTCCTTAGTAGAAATAATCTACTTTCCATACTTCAAGTTGTAGCATCTAAAGTTTTCTAATTTTGAGGGAACCTGACTTTGCCATATGTCAATTCTCAAACGTACAAGGATATATTTTTTTGAGGGAGAGGCAGTCCTGAGGGTTGAACTTGGGGCTTTGTGCTTGAGGTAGGGACACTCTACTGCTTAAGCCATGCCTCCAGGCCACAAGGTTTGATTTTTATAATTTTTCCAGGTTATATTCTCCACTAGATCAGGGGCTACAGCCTTTTCAACTTTGGAATTCCTGCCAAGCCCAGCCCAGCTCCTTGATCTAGGCAGGTTTTTGTTTTTTTGATGTTGGAGTTGAACCCAGGGTTTGCACAGGCTAAGCACATGCTGTACCACTGAACTGTGCCCTCGCCTTAGGCTTGTTCTTTGTATGTATCTGATGAACGTATGCCTTCAGGCCCTCAGTTCCACAGACTCCCCAGGAGTCAGCTGGGTTCTATTTGAGACTGGTGGCAGCCCAGTATGTTTTCTCTATAGAGGGACTAAAGCCTGTAAGGGAAGCTGCCTTTTTAAAAACCTTCTTCTAGAAGGTTTTCTGTCCAGGTGATCATTGAGAAGCTAATGAAAAAATGGTGCCAGGCACCACAATGGTAACACACTGCTCATTTCTGGGATTTTGGTTTTCACCCCTTCCCTACTTTTAATGGACTGTGCTGGATGTCTGTAATTTTGTTGAGATGACTCCAGAACCTGGAAAAGCCGTTGCTGTTGGTGCATAACATACTGCTCATTAGTGGTGTATCTATAGCTCTCTATACAGATTATATATATAATTTGCATTTTTATGGGAGGGGGCAGGGTGGAGAAATGATCCAAACAATGTATGCACATGTGAATAAATGAAAAAAAATTTGCATTTTTAGAAACTATGGAAAAAAAGTATCCCAGTGTTGAGTTAGCATTAGAAATCAATAGCTCTATTAGTCTAGCAATGTTAATTTTCCCATTTGTACAGGGGTGATGCACTGTTATTAAATATGTAAGGCCTTATCTATGTGAGTTTGATTACAGAAACTAAGGAAGTATTCTCTGTTCTTTATTTGGACTCTGACCTTCAGTTATGGTCAAACAGCTCTGCTATTGACAAGAGGAGGGCAAGTCAGCTTTTCCCAAGTCACCCAATGCATTGTCAGGGTGGACCTCACTACTGACAACAGGGTAGAATAGATCTGTGCAGAGGCAGGCTCCCAGAATCCTGATGTTGCACAAGACCTATATGTTCAGTCAAGAACGTAATGGCATGAGCAGCCCTGAGGCCCGTTTTAATGGCTACCACTGTTTTCCATTTTTTAGTGTGATCTTGTGAAAGTACAGTGAGCAGTTGAAGTCAGCCTCTGGAGCCAGTCATCAGCACCAGCAGTTATCCATGTTCACCGCTGTCAGTGGATGGCTCCCTAGGAAAATCTCTTTTCTGGACTATGTCATTACACTGTGGAAAGGGAGATGTGGCAGACGATCAAAGTCTAGCAGCTGAGTGTGGGGCTGACATAGCCCCCAGACTGGTCATGGAGTCTGGGATGGGGAATGAGGACAGTGTGAGGAGCTCTTGGCCAGTGGTGAGACTGCCACATTCATTGGTGAGATGGAAACTGCCCAGAGCTTAGAAAAGGGAGTAGTGTCTTCACAGGAACGGGTTTAAACTGAGCACCAAGGACTAAGGCATCTGCACCTGCTGTGGCAGAAGAGCAGGCTGTTACAGGCTGCAGGGGCTTCAGGGGAGTGGAGCCTGGGAGCTGGGATGGCAGCTGGGAGGGAGTCCAGCTCAGGGAGTTAGACCTGAGAGGGACCCTTCAACTTTGTGATGCTGTTCAGAGTCCAAAGCCTAATGGACCTCTGTAGTTTATCGTGTGTGTGTGTGTGTGTGTGTGTGTGTGTGTGTGTTGTGTGTGTGTGTGTGTGTGTCTTTGTCTGAGGTTACCCCACTCCAGTGTTAGCTTCACATCGTGGCTCAGCCACTTGCTGGTAAGCTGGGAAAGTTACTTGGCTTCTCTATTGTCAGGTTTCCTCATCTACAGAATGATAATGGAATTTAGGGTTTTTCTAAGAACTGACTGAATACGTTAGGAACATTATTAAGTGTCAACTAGTCACATGGCTGTCGTATTTTTAAACTATCGCCTAAGCCTGTGGAAGGCAGGAGCTGCCTCTGCACAAAAGGCCTCATTTTTTTTTTTTTTTTGGTGGTGGTGGTGGGGTGGTGGGAGAAGTAACTAGAGACTTTGCTGTGGCTCCCAAAGACATCAGCTGTGGGCATCCAGCACAAAGGGCCCCTCTCCAGCAGGGCCTAGCTTCAGTGTCAATGACCCAGATGTACAGCATCACTGAGGGTAGTGGGTTCAACCACTTCCAGACAAGGATTGAGAATGAGCTGGCCCTCTCCTAAGTTTGTATTTCTTTTACCCTCATCTTTTCCTTCTTGCTCTATTGTCTAAAGAATGTCCTTTTCCCAGTCAAGTGAAGGAAGTGCAAGCTTTGGAGTTATAAGCATGAAATCCAGGCATAGCTGTTACTTAGGTGAACGTGGGCTGGTTGCTCAGTATCCCTCCCTCATTTCCTCAGCTACACAGCAACCACCCACCCTCATCACTAGCTGAGCGCCAGGGCCATGGGCACAACTTGACTTGCAGCAGGTTCTCCTCCAATGGCAGCTTTGTTGACCTGTGTCCCACACATCTGCTCTGTAGCCTATCTTCTTGAGCCACATGACCTGGGAGGCCAAGGCAGGAGGGTGATGAATTTGAGGCCAGCCTAGGCTACCTAGCTAGACCCTCAACAATGTTCTTGTCTTTACTTCGTATCCAGCTTTTAGCTGGGAACCTAGTACCTTCTAGAAGTTATGCTAACCTAACACCTTGATGTGCCCAAAACCTAATTTGCTGTTTCCCTATGGAGGAACTTTTTTTTTTTTCCTTCCCCAATTTCCTTATTAAGCAAAAATTCACACTGTTAGGTGGGTTTGTTCTAGTGCCTCTGTCATTCTGACTACAATCAGTGAAAAGTTTTCCTATGCAGGACAGTCTCTCCTAGGGTAGTCTGTGTAAATGGTTGTGAACGTAGTCATTAAAGACCAATCAGGGCAACCATAACTCCCCTCATTTTCATGGGGACTGTCTGGAATACTCTCAATTTATTCTTCACAAAGAAAAATCTGCAGCAGCCAAAGGTTATGGTATACAGAGGATCTGTGTCACTAAGTACACAGAAAAAGAAAGCAGGAATGCCATGCCCTGCTGTGTTCAAGTACTTCATGAAGGTCAACTCTCATGAGGCAGTAAGGCCAGGCAGGTAACCAGGGTCACTAGGATCCAATGTTAAATATTAGAGGAAGTGTAGAAGTGAAATATATTAAAACTAAGCAAAACTAAGCCAACCCCCCACCAAATGGGAGCATAAATCATAAGTAATTTCCTCAAATGTTATGAAGATGTTTGCTACCACCATAGCTATCTTATCCACAGCAGCAGTCAACAGATAAAACATTTCCTTCTGAATTTCATGGAAACTAGCAATATAAATGAAGAACTAAGACACATGTAAAAAGACAAAGGAAACATTTTGCTTATTTTATTTTTTAATCTTCAAAATTTTCTGCCATGACACAGGAATGCATGATAGAAATGGCTCAACATCTTCACATGAAACACTTGGATTCATTTTCATTCACAAGTTTTTCTAAAACATCTACAATTTCCTAATTCCACCCATTATCACAGATTTAACTGACCATTAAACAGTAGATGCCAGCATTAGCCAGCTGGAAAGCTTTCTGCATTATTAGTAGTGTCTTTGGAAACTGCGACCCAAGAATGTCACAATTATAAATCTCATTGTACATGGCAACCCCAAAGGTGACAGATGTCCCCAAAATCCCTGCTTATCATGGAGAGTGTGTCCTCCACATCCTAAAAAAAACACACTTTCTTCTCGTGGAACTGCTTGCTCACCTAGTATTTTACTTGCAGGGAACGAACTGTACATGCTGACTTGACAGTTTAATCCCCACTACTCACAGGTGGATACAGATGGCCGATGCTTACTGGTGTGCTGAGGACTATGTACAGAACATACTGAAAAAAGTCAGGTTGCTTGGAAATCTGTATCTCTTCTTTTGAAGAGAACTACTTTTGAGTTTTTTGTTTTGTTTAAAAAAAAAAAAACAGTTGTAAACAAAAAGAGATATACACAGACATATACCTAAGCAGAGATCTACGCTGAGTATTTTTGATATGGTACGTATCTCCTATCAAGAGATACACAGACACAGAGTATTCCCACTCACTCCTGGACACATCTACATCCTTCCGTATGTCATGTGAATATAAATGTTGCTAAGTGTCCTTAGGAGTTCCCTGGAGTTTTCATATTACCAAACGATGATGAAATACCTGATACGTTTTACTCCTGAGAAGATACTAGAAGGGAATGACAGTTCTGATGCACTTTGGAATGGCACAATCACGTAAACGCTTGCAGACTTAAGACTTCCGAACTCATCCAAAGTTTCTAAACATGATCCGACCAAAAAACATAAAAAAGTATCAAAATAAGGCAGCAAGTTAAAATAAAACAAAAAGATTTTGTAATCAAAGTATAAACAAATATAGAGGACATGTATATTTGTCAGTAATTATTTTAAAGTAGGAAACGTACTTAAGAAAAACAGTTGTTTGACAAAACAAAAAACAAAAACAAACAACAAAACACCCAGCTTTTCAATGAATACTAATACATGCATTGCCCCAAACAGAAGCTAGCCACGTTAGATTTGCAAGGCTTATAGCAACTTTATCAGAAAAAAACTAGCGTAAGTCTGTTAACTATGCAATTTATAAAAAATTCCTGTGACTTATTCACACTTCTGTAAAAAGAATTGGCATTTGCTGAATATCATCCCCCAGTATAATTAATTTGTATAAAAATTACAACTAAACCAATGAATTTCAAGCACCAATTCAATCATTTAAACTTACTGTGTTTATATCTTTCCTACTGAGGGAACAAATAATGATGAAGGCTAAGCTAAAATTAGCCAGGTAACTATTACAGTTTAGTTTTAAAGGCATGCGGTTTTTTTTTCCTTACATTTATTTGAATGCCAAACGTTCTAGAATGTTTAGGCCAGTAAAGGACTCCTTGGAGGAACCCAGCATTTCTGAGTATCAATGGTTTAATATACATTAAAAGCTCTTCAACAAACCAATGCTGCCTTAGTTCTAGGATAAAAAAGATTTGCACACAAGAAATTAAGGACTGTTCCTTGTTCTAACTTAGAAAAGGCAGCACCTAGAGTAGACTAAGAAGCACTCTGCACATCTACCGGTAGTGTAAGAAAACGGCACTATTATTCAAGAAGGCAACATCACTGCGCTTGGCAAGTCTGAAATTTTGCTGAGTTAAAAACTTCCATTGGACACTTGGGATGGGAGGATAGCAGGAAGAGCACATTACTCTCCTTTTTCTGCATCAGGGAAAAGATGGCTGTCTGAGTAGATGAGTAACAGTGTTGTGAAGCCTCTGGTTGTTCCTGAAGAAAACACGTTCAGATAACAAGGGGTTTATTTTCAATCAATACAACTGCTGTTTTTGTTTCCAGTATTTACACCATACCACAGTGATTTCTGAGACATAATTAATGTTCAGTCCTCTGTTACTGTTCAGCTTGGTTAAATTTTCAAAGCACACTGAACTGAACCTTTAGGTTGGTTGTATCTGAGAGACTGCAGATAAGACTACTGAAAAAATCACGTGAAAAACAAAATCTTGATCAACACTCATCCTGTTATCTGAACTTGATCACAAAATCACAGGCAGCTGAAAGAGGAAAGAGCTGTGCTGAAGCCAAGTCTCAGGACACGGGAGGAGTGTCCTGCTGGTCCTCGGGAACAGTGGGCTCCCTCTGCCTTTCACTCACCCCACTAGCTGGCTCTTCATCAACAGGCTCACCGAGGTCTTCACTGCCCCCCTCACTCTGCTCCTCACTGTGGTCTTCACTTGGCTCCACAGTCTGATCCAGGCTATTCTCCAGAAGTGTGGGGGAATTGCTTATTCTACTTTCTTCTTCAGCTGTCTCACTTAGGGTCTGGGAAGGAGTGTTAGATGGGATAGCACTTTCAGTGGAAGAGATGGGGGCTTTGGCTAGAGTAGTATCCACCGTAACCTCATTCTGAGGCAAGGTTAACTTTTCCACAACTTTCCACTGAATGATGCTCATGTCTTTTCCACCAGTTGAAATGAGGTGACTGTCACTGTGAGTAAAACTGACATTGGTGACATGGCTGCTGTGGGCACTGTACTTGTGACTGGGAGCCTATAAAGAAATCAGACAGGAAAATTAAGCTCCTTTTTCACAGGCCTGCTGAAAGCAATGGAGATGACTAGGTGAGGGAGGTACTTAGCTTATGAAGGAGACAGTTTGAATCATGGCCAAAGTCATCGAATCTGAGGAGTAAGCTGTCAGTAATCTCCTCTTTATATAAAAGGAGAAATAAAACAATAACTGGACATCTGTACTTTTTCATACTGTAGGTTTAAAAATGTAACTAAAAATCTCCTGTTCCTAGATGTCAGGAAGTTTATTCATGAGATCAGGGGAGAATTTACTAGCTTGGCAGGATTATAGATGATTTAGGAAATGGGATTAAAAAGTGCCAAAAAAAATTGAAACGAAAAAAACTTGACAATAAACAAAGAGCTATCAATTCTACAGCGTCTTCTCAGCCTTACAGAGGGAGAACATAAGCAGCACTCAGTGCTCTAAAGTTATCACAGAGAGGAATTATTAACACTGCAAATATTTTGTCAGTGATAAACTTATCCTCAAAGAAAAGGCTCTACAAGACTGGCTTTCTATGAAGTTGAGTTTACCTTTGCTTTGGAGCAGGGGTACTGAAACAGATGGACTTTACAGAAGTCATCAGCAACAGCTACCACCTTCCTACTGTGGGATCGCACCAGTGCATTGATGTCTGTCCCATCGGATCCTTCTGGCCAGACACCTGGGGAAACATGAGTAGGAAAATGAGCCTTAAAACTATAGCCATGATGCTACATATGGTAAACCCAAACAGCCTCAAAATGGGAAACTCAGGCTCAGCAGTATTCAGTAGTAACCAGTAGGTGGTGCTAATAAATTAGTTTCAGCTGTCTCATCTCAAGAACAAGCTGCTTCCTTTTAAAGATTCTAGTTAGAGGAACTGGAGGAGTGGCTCAAGTGGTAGAGCGCCTGCTGTGCAAGTCATGAGTTCAAGCCCCAGCCCCACCAAAAAATAAAACAAAAACCAAAACAAGGCCTTCTGATCTCCCTTTCATCCTAAAAACAGGAACTACAGACTCCTGTGAACAATGTCCTCCCCACAGCAGGGGACAAGAAGCTCTTCAGTGGGGAGTCATTGCAGAGAGAATCCTGCACCCACAGGCCTCATCACAAACATTCTGGTTAGAGGAAAAACCATCAGTTTACTTGTACAGCAAGATGCAAAAAGATGCTACAGCACTTCAAAGTCTTCAAAGGGGCACCTCTAAGAAAACCTTGGAGACACTCTTATGCAAATGCACATACATCCACTTGCCTAGCATGCTATTCCATAGAAATCTCCTGGAAACATTATTCATGTCCACAGAGAAGACACAGCAAATGTAATTACTCAGAGTCATTAGGAGGCACTGGTGATCTTCTTCAATGTAACTGGACAAACTTGAATTAGGTTAGATTAAGGGTTGAGATGTTGGTCTCGTGGTTGAATGCTGCTCTAAAGAACAAATGTTCTTGGTGAATTTGCTACAAACATGTCAGAGCACTTTTAAATTGGTGTCTCTTAACAAGTAAGTAAATACTGTCTCATTACAATAAACAGGGAAGGCCAGGCATGGTGGCTCATACCTTTAATCATAACTACTTGGGAGGCAGAGATTGGGAGGATCCCACTTAGAAATTAGCTGGGCAAATTTAGTGAGACCCCCATCTCAACCATGGTTGAGGCATGGTAGTTCTTGCCTGTGATTTTTACTGCTATGCACAAGGTATAAAAAGCAGGATCATGGAGCAAGCTGGCCTGGACTGGAGAAAAATGCAGGACACTACTAAAAAAAAGAACTAAAGCCATAAGGGCTAGAGGAATGATTCAAGTGGTAAAGCACCTGCCTAACAAGCTGTGTTCAAATCCCCATATCAAGCCGGGCATAGGTGGCTCATGCCTGTAATCCTAGCTACTCAGGAGGCAGAGATTAGGAGGATCGTGGTTTGAAGCCAGGCTGGGCAAATCATTTTCAACACTTTATCACATGGAGTGGTTCAAGTGGTAGAATGCCCACCTAGCAAGCATGAAACCCTAAATTCAAACTCTAGTACTGCCACCATTCCCCACTTCAAAAAAACCAGAAAATCCCAAACCCAAAGAAGTTAGCAGCTACCGGCTGCTGCATGAGTTTCATCCAGAATAATGAAATTGTTTATGGACAAGTCAGGATTATTTTACTTTCCTCCTAACCTATTAGGTGTCTCCATCTGACAGCACCAGTGTTTAAAAGAATTCTAACAGATTTGTTTTCTAATGCGGAAAGCTATATTCAGATCTATGATGGGCTGGGGGAAAAGCTCCATTTTCATATTTTCACAAGGTGGATATGTACTGTTATAGGGAAAAAACACAGTATTTTGGAAATTTGCTCTGGATAGTGATACCACATCCACATCCAGCATTTTAAGTTACTAGGTATAACATCTGTTTTGTTTGTGCAAAACAAACCTTTATTTTGCAAAGAGTTTAAAAAAAAAAAAAAAGAGGCCTTTTTTTTTTTTTTCCCCTTTCTTTTGAGTCAGGGTGTCCCTATGTACCCCAGGCTGGCCTCAACTTGCTACATAGTCTAGGCTGGCCTTGAAATTGAGGTCCTCAGCTTCCTGAGTGCAGGAATTACAGATGTGTACCACCACACCTAACTTTTCCTTTTCTCTTTGAAGTCTTTCAGAATGATAAACGAAGATGGAAAAAGGTTGGGAAACTGTCACAGAGCACAGATTTCTAGAAATGTCCAGATTAGTAATGATCCCCAAATTTTATGTTTAAGTAATATCTACTAAAAAGGTCTTCATGCCAGGCATAGTGGTGCACAACCATAATCCCAGTACTTGGGAGGCTGAGGCAGGAGGTTCAAAAGTTTAAAGCCAGCCTGGGCTATAGCAAGATCCTGTCTCAAAAAACTCAAAAAGTCTGATTATATTTCAACAAATGGAATATCTACATGCAGAAGAATAATGTATGGTGGCAAAGATGCAGAAAGGGAACCTTCATATGCTGCTGGTGGAAGTCAATGGAAAATAGTCTGGCAGCTACTTTTGACCTAGCGATTCTAGGTCACTCAAGAGAAATGAGAACTATCAGCAGAAGAAAACTTACACATGATGGTTCACATCAACATTGTTTATAGTAGCAAAAAAGTGGAAACAGCCTAAGTGTCCAGAAATTGATGAAAGGATTAACAAAATGTAGTATATATCTTCTGTACAAAAAGGAATCATTCAGCCAAAAAGTACTGATGCGTGTCTCAACGAGTCTCCTGGAAATGATTTGCATTCTACACGAAAGAAGCTAGTCTCAATGGATCACATACTGCATGCTTCCGTTTATATGAATTATTCGGAACAGGAAAATCTATAAAAGTAAATTAGTAGCTGTTGGGAGAAGAGTGCAGGTAAAGGGAGAGATGAGGCGTGCTTGCTAATGGGTGATGAAAATATTCTAAAATTAGACCATAATTTCAAAACTGTGAAAGACACTGAGTACGCTTAAGGAACAGTATATGAATGAGATATCAACAAAGCTATTTTTAAAAATGTCTTACCAACTGAAAAGCTTCAATTTTCCCTCCCTCTTTCCGTTTTCTATCTTTTCTTGTCCTCTCCTCCTTCCCCCTTTTCTTTTTTGTGATAGTCTCACTACACAGATCAACTGGCCTGGAACGCTAGGCTGCCCTGAACTCATCATCCTCCTGCTTCAGTTCCCCAGTGCTAGGATTACAGGTGTGTGGACCATGCCTGATTTTCAGGTTTCACTTAAAGGAAAGGCAATCTGCAGTGCTATGTTAAGTCCTTTCCTTTTAGTTGTCTTTCATATCTACTGGGGACCAAAAGTGTGTCATTCTGCAGACAACAAACCCTAAATTGGTTCAATCCTAATGCATTTAATTTTCCTGAAACTGACATGAATAGTGACACCACTAAAGAATGCACACAGACTATCTTTCATTTATAGATTTATGCAAGTAAACATATTATATATAAAATCTCACAAACCATCTCTCCACATTAGGTGTCATGTTCTTACCAAAGACTTGAAAGCCTAGCACACAGGTATATGTCGTCCAATCAATGTCCTTACAATCCGATCGATTCCTGATTAGTTTGCAGCCTTTTCCAATGTCCCCTTTAAATTTAGAAACAGGAAGTATAATCATAGTGCTTGTGTACAAATGTATTTGAAAGTGCATCTTGATGCAAACTAGCCACGTTTACTTGTATTTATAATCCAAACACTGAAAAACATTAAGATACATTTAAAAAGGAAAAGAAAGTATTTAACAGGGTTTTAGAGAACTACAAATTGTTTCCTGAGGAAGTCTTTTTTTCTTTTGTTCTCTAAAAATCATAAAGACTAATCCATTTTACTCCTCCCTTCCTCCAGGAAAAGTTGTTAAATGAAAAATCATTCAGAGCTGCATTAATCTGAGTTATTTTTTATTACTGCATGTGCCTTCAGTGGTACACCATTAAGTTAATTCATTACTCTCTTGAAGAAGTGTGAGACTCTCATTACTTGGCTCAGAGTAACACATGCTTTGTCAAGTCAGAGGCCAGCATGCATTCTCTGCACAACCCAAATTCCACACAGCCTGTGAGTTAGCAACCTGACAGACACATCTAAGCCCCTATAAGATTATTCATACTTACAGTACAGTATCTCATAGTCTCCAGAGTTAGACATTATATGCTGGTTGTCTGGGGACCAGTCAAGGTGTGTGATGTAGCTGGAATGTCCCTAGAGGAAAACAGAGTTTTGAATGAGAAAAGTTTACTAGTTAGTTAATACTACTTTCTCAGGACACAGGGGCCAGGAGTCCTGAAGGATGGGAAGTAATACCACAGCCTGTAGAACTCAGGCCCACAGCGGGTCCTTAGTTGTTTTTCACTGTATTGCTGGAAAGATGCAGGTATGTGAAGAGGCAATGCCATACGAAGAGTCTGGCATGACTGTGGAACTCCAGGGTTGTACCACTAGAGTCCCTGGAACTTGGGGGAATCCTGCTGGTCTCAACCTAGATACAGAAATAAGCTCCTACTACTGCTGCTTAGAGTTCCAGAAAGACAGACCTTTAAACTTGTATCTTAGTGGATCTGCAATAGATACCATACACTCAGGCCTGTTTCAAGCCACTGGTATTCTATTAGAGTGACTATTTTTGAGAATGAAGCACTGGTTTCAAGTTATGTACAAAGAACAGTTTTCCTGTGCTGTGTGCTGCATATAGCGCCCACATATAGTGAGAATGGAGGTCTCCTAGAAAAACTCCTATCTCCAAAGAATGTTCTAAGGTGGAGGGAAGTCACCCAACAATGTACTTCTTCAGAACAGCTGGATCCAATGTAATAACCTGACTTCTCAAAACTTTCCTTAAATGAGAAAACTGATCTTTTTGCTGCTTATGTTTTAGTAATACTGTGGGAATCAATATTACCAAATGCTAAATTATGTTAGCTTCACACATAAGTGACTTCAAATAAACTATTTCAGATAAATTATACAGATCTTATGGTTGACAGACTGAAATTCACACTTATTCCCTATAGTCTGATTTTGTACCTTTTGAATTACAAGCTTCCTGCTTGCATGATTTTATTTAGGTTAATAAATTCAATGCACATTAGGTACAGTTATTTTTCATGACTTACACAAAGTTGTCTAACTATCCCAGGACCCTTCTGAAGTCTAATGGGTCTGTCCCAAGGTCTTTCTGGACCTATGATCTCCACCACGGTGCTGCACGGCAAATATACACATTTACATTTGTAAATGAGCTTATAAGATGAGAACTGTGAAGCTTTCTGAGGCCCTTAGAGATTAGGGGTACATTAGAAAATAGGGTGGGAATCAATCACTTGCTAGGCTCACAAGGGACCCACCAACTTAACAAGCAATCAGAATGAAGTATGTGGTTACTGGCTATTGTGTGGCAGGAGGATGGTGCTTAGATGACTTTTAAGACAGTGAACCTGAGTCTGATGCCTGGCTCTGATGTCAGAGAAGCCATGCTTCTAAAATAAAAAAACTGTTGCTACAAGAATGAAGGATTTAACCAGACTAATCACAGCAAATTACATTCCTTCAGGAAGTATTACTTCTAATGTAGAAGTACTTTAAATATGATCTGCATCTTTATAAAAAGCCTTTAAAAGCATTGTCTACAAGAGCATCAAAAGCCCTGCCTGTATGCATAATATTCATGTAACTCACACTGATGCCAGACACAGAATGTAATTTGAAGGTAAATCAATGTAAAATATTTTCAAAAAGAACTGAAATTCATCTTTCTGCAATGATGAAATCAGACCTACCTTGGGGGACATTATCAACTCACATTAGAAAAGTCAGTTTTTTTCGTGGTATCAATGCCAACAAATAAGCAAAAATTAAATGCAGCTCTTGGAGTCTATAATGCCACCTGCTTAGACACCACCTCAGAGTGTCCTTTCCCCATTCTACTTACAGGGCCAGAGAAAGTACAGGTTGAACACTTCTAATCTGAAGCTTTTTGAGTGTTGACATGATGCAAAAGGGTTTTTGATTTTGGGGCATTTTAGATTTTGGATGTAGGGACTACGGATACTCCACCAGGTAAAATTTATGCAAATACCCCCAAATCTGAAACGCATCTGCTCAAGCATTTCAGATAAGGGTTACTTAACCTGTATATGCACAGCTTGGGGAAAAACAGCCTCAAGTTTCACCTTATGGACACGTCATTGGGAGTAAAATCTGATATATCTCTTGTATTCTAACTTTCATTACTGTCATTAAGTAGCTGAATGGTGAAACCACAACAAAAATCATAAGCAAAGAAGCCAAAGATGACTACTCTGGGGAAAAAAAAAAAAAAAACCCAGAAATATTTGAGTTGAATTTTGTTAACTGTATGGAAGGTCATCATCTAAATATCAGTGGTTTGCAACTGACTTAAAATTTCTTGGGGAGTTGAAGAACAAAAAACCACCAAGGCCTTTTAGCGATCTAACTTTTAACTAGGCATCTAGGTAGTTCTTTATCATCTACAGCTGAGCTTCTTATGGAACTTTTGTAATGACGGAAATGTTTTGAATCCGTGGGGCTCATGGTTACCTGTAGTTTCTAAGTGCCTGAAATTTGGATGGAGCTCTCAGACAACTGAAGTGCATTTAATATTATAAACAGAAAGTTGTGGTCAGTAACTGATATACTAGATAATTCAGGTAAAGAATAATCTTTCTTTCTCTACTGATTTGAAATATCTTTTTATTTGGTAAATTTCCAGAAAAACACAGGCCTTTTTCCAGACTCTTTGCTGGTGCCTCAGTATATCTGCCTATTGTCAATCAATTGGGATAGTTCTGTAGCATGTGAATAATTTCAGGTGGACTTTAGAACTTTATCAAGCCCATCAGTATGTTGAAAATTAAGGCTGCATTAAATTCAGAGAATAGTTTGCAGAGAACAGATGTCCTTATCAAGTGTTTTCATTCAGAAATATGCCGTGTGTCTATTCTTTCTGTTCTCAATTTATGTCTTTCAGCAATGATTTACATGGCTACTTGTGCTTTTGTGGCTAGGTTTATTCTCAAAGCATTCACAGTTTTTGTTGATATAATGAGTGGAATTTTCCCTTATCACATTTAAAAATTACTTTTGCTAGTGTGAGGGAAAACGGATCTTAACTTCGTAGTTTCCTAATAACACCTAGTTGTTGTAGTTGGGTGCCTAGCTACAACACTTTCTCAACATACTAAGCAGCTAGGAGTGGCAGAAGTCATTGAGTAGATTCTAGAAAAAACTTTAATAAGAGAATTGACTTAGTGGGAGAAATGCCTTTTAGTAGTCATTTAATGTATTGAGGATGGAAACAACATACTAAGGACATGAAGGAGAAGGAAGGATTCTAAGTTCCTGATGACTTCTCCTCTCCACTCCACCCTTCCTCCACTAGGGCTCAAAACCAGGGCCTGCCTGTCAGTGCTTGCTAGGCAAGTGCTCTACCACTGAGCTACACTCCCAGTTCCTGATGACCTCTTTACAATGAGGTCATCATATCATCATAATAATCAATATACATAATTTAAGTAACTGGGTTCTATGTATAATTCCTGTTATAGTGACACTGAATCCTACTATCCTTTTGAAATCCTGCATTAGTTATATAGTTTATTTTCTTAGAGATTTTTGGTAGTAGGTAGAAAGTCTTTACTCTTCTTTCTCTTTTTGTTGCATAATTCTAATTAGCAAAACTCTGGCCCTTTTACCAGCACTTCTTAACTATTTTGTAATGCTTCTTAGTTATATGACAACAACTTTATGTACTTCTGTGCTAATATCTTTGCGTAGCAGTGTTAAAAGTTACACAGGAATGAGTCAACAGAAAACCACTTTGTTAGCACTCAGGTACAGGGAAAAAAAAATCTTAATCTCACTGCAAATAGAATAGGAACTTTAGGTCAATCAGGACCAAAAAAAAAAAAAAAACAAGGAAAATTCCAATTGTCCACAGTTATAAACAAACACAGTCATTTCTGAGGAAAAAAAATAATTTTTTTTTTTTTTTGGTATCAGAGCTTGAACTCAGGGCCTACACCTTGAGCCTTTTTGTGTTAGGTGTTTTCAAAATAGGGTCTTGAGACCTGAAGCCCAGGGTTGGCTTCAAACCACAATCCTCCTGATCTCTGCCACCTGGGTAGCTTGGATTACAGGCGTGAGCCACCAGAACCTGGCCATTTCTGAATTTTAATAGATTAATGTTAAATGCTGAGAAACATTCATAGGTACAACCCAGAAACCATCTAGTTTTTGAAAATAATGCTAAAAAAGGATTTTTTTTAAAAAAAGAAAAGAATGCTACTGTTAATAAGTATACCTACTACTTATGAATGCAGGGTTCATCGCATCTAAATCTCTTGCAACGTTAGTGGGATGTTCACTTGGTAGGTGAGAAAGTTTACAAGCCTGATGTCACATAACCAAAAGTTGGTGGAGCCAGGGCTCAAACCCAGCTCAGATGATTCTGGGTCAGAGTAAGCCAGAATAGCAGTAAAACTTGTTTTATCCATTTTTGTAACACTGAAGATGAACAGACAGTAATTTAAAAGTATCATTTTAAGATAGGGAATTTGTAAGTAAGCAAGGCCTTTTCATATATTTTTGGGAGAGTAAAGAAATACACTGTGCTGAAATGAAAGCACCAAAACTGCAAAACTACCTATCTTTGGTGAAGAAGGAAGTGTGAGAGGACCTACCAGTGGTCTTCAAGTCCTGTGTTCTATAAAATCCTTCTGTCACATTAAAACTTACTTGAGGATCCTGGCATGTAAAACAAAGAGAGTCAGATTCATACTAGTTCAGCCTACTTCATCAGGCCCCAGAAATGAGTTGAAAAGATCTTTTGAATCCCAAAGCTGCTTTATAAACTTTTCTATAAAGTATTTAGAAAATCATGGCTGGGTGCTGGTGGCTCACACCTGTAATCCTAGCTAGTTGGGAGCCTGAGATCAGGAGGACTGATGTTCAAAAGCCAGCCCAGGGCAGATATTTTGTGGGACCGTCTCCAAAATAACCAGAGCAAAATGGACTGGAGGCAGTAGAGCACCTCTCCTGAGTTCAAACTCCAGACCCACGGTGGAGGGCGGTGGGGGAATACCGCTTCCACAGTACATGTCTGATATAATCACAAATCTGTGAATCCTCTAGGACCCCAATCCAATCCTACAGTTAATAACCAAATCACTTTTTGTAGTATTTTC